AGTGCAGTAATGCAATCACAGCTCACTGCAGCCTCGACCTGCTGGGCTCAGGTGAGCCTCAGCCACCTCCTTCCCCTAGTAGCTGGGACTACAGGGGTGGGCCACCACACTCAACAAGAATGATACATATCAGGCCGGGCATGGTAGCTCATACCTATAATCCCAGCCCTTTGGGAGGCCAAGGTGAGAGGACTGCCTGAGCTCATGGGTTCGAGACCAGCCTGGGCAATTTAGGGAGACCTTGTCTCTACAATAAATCACAAGAACTAGCCGGGCGTGGTGGTGCATGCCTGTAGTTCTACCTACTTGGAAGGCTGAAGTGGAAGGATCACTTGAGCCCAGCAGCTCGAGGCTGTGGTAGCCATGAGCGTGCCACCCCACTGCAGCCTGGGTGATGGAGTGAGACTCTGACTCAAAAAAAAGAAAAAAAGAAAGAAAAAAAGGAAAGACAGCAAGACTTAATGCCACAGAGCCATGCCCCGGAGGATGAAAATTACCCACACCGCAAACTGATTACTGGAGCTATAAAATGCTCATCTAAAGTCTACTCACAGAGACTCTGCGCCTCAGCCACAGTTTTAAGTCATAAAACCAAACGCCTCCTGGATATCTCTCCTGGAAACCTCACAGGCTTCTCATGCTCGCCCAGTGCCACAAAACCAGTCCTCCTCCTGGGTTCCCACTTGGCCTACCTGGTCACCTGGCCAGACTGCTGGGCACCATCCCTGCCACTCTGGGCTCAAGCCAGACATCCACACCTAACCATCCTCTCCTCCCCGGGCCTTCACCCTGCCTGGCCTCCTGGCTTCCAACTCTTATCTTTCACATGGCTTGAGAGGACTTTTACTATACCCAGATCTGGCCCTGCCACTGCCTTACTCAGAGTCCGCCATGGCTCTCAGCGTCCTTGGACAAGGCCCAACTCCACAATTCTCTGTAGTCTTGATGACATCTCCAGTCTGCGTCATCACACTCCAGTCCCGTAGTTCCTCCTGTAGTTCCTTGTCAGGCTCTTCTCTCATTTGGGGTTTTGTACTGGCTGTCCCCTTTCCCTCTACCACCCTAAGTTCCCCTCTTTGTCAAGAAGGCCCTCATGTTCTTTTTTTTCTTTTTTTTTTGAGTTGGAGTCTCACTCTGTCGCCTAGACTGGAGTGCAGTGGCACACTCCTGGCCACTGCAGCCTCGACCTGCTGGGCTCCAGCAATCCTTCCACCTCAGCCTTCCAAGTAGCTGGAACTATAGGCGTGTGCTACCATGCCTGGCTAATTTT